CGAATTTTGGGAATAATGAGGGCAACAAATGTATAGATGTGTTTTATACAATTGATCTATGTATTGTGATGAATTGTATGAGCCCCAATAAATTGATTTTTTTTAAAATACCACTAAAACATCTCAGAAAGAGATAACAATAGGAGGTCCTGGATAGAGTAGGAGAAAAATGTAGAGAAAAGACCAACTTTACTGGTCTGACACAGGCTGGTAGAATATGCGTGCTTATAGTCCTCAGTCATCCTGAAACCCTTTAAGCCACTCCTGTGACTTAAATTTCAGCAAAAAAAATTCGCAGCCTATAAGATAAATAACATTAGGGAGGTCTAAGTTCTAAAGTCATCTCTAACCATCCCTAAATCAAATAATGCACTACTAAATGGTCAAATATGGGTCAGAATCGACTCGTTGACTGCATTTAGTTTTGGTTAAATGGTCAAATAAAAATTTTACATAGCCAGTGTTGCTTGAAAAGAAAAATATTCAACAAGAATATTCAGTTTTCAAAAAGAGTCAACAGAGAGGTTCAAATATTAGAGTTTACTGAGAGTGGTACAAAAAGATACATTGAAATATGTCCTCCAAAAACTAAGAAAGCTAAGCCAATGAAGAGAATAGAGGCAATCTTGATACCAAGAAAAGGAAATAAAAATTAAATCTAGCTGAAAATAGATATACATTGATTATATATTCCATATACCATTAATTCAGGTGTCTTGTAAATGTCCTGTTTCTTCTCGTAAAATGTTTTGTCACTGTCATGTATAAACACCACATTAAACTCAATGTTACAATATTTTGCTGCTAGCAACTTTCCTCAATGGAAAATGAAAAGTATAAAAAGGCCATGATCAGTCTTTAATCTTTATTAACTTTATTCACCCAATACATTAGATGCTCGAACCCTGCCGTGGTTCTGCAGCTAAAATGGTGAGATCCTGGTTTTTCTTATAAGGAACTTAAAGGAAAAAGGAACCTAATTGTGGAAAGTGGGAAGGTAAATAATTTTGAACCAGTCTCTGTGATAAGGAAATAACCTTAAAACTAAAGTGTGCATAGCTCTTAACCAAACCAAAGGGGAAAGGGGTGTCAAGTGTTCCAATTAAAAAAACAAGGAAAAGAAAATAGTAGGAGCCCAAGAGGGGCAAATGCAAATATCTACAGATTGCTTGTTCAATATTCTAATTACATTTAGTATAAACAATTGTCTGACTCACCTAGAATGCTTAAAAAGAAAGGTGTACTAGATATGTTTAAAAATGTGGTCAGTGCTGTTCCTCCAGTAATTATCCTTTTCTTTATATTCAGGTCCCTACAAAATACCTTCTATTACTGGTATCCTAATCATTTGATTGTGAATAAGAAAGCAGTGTTTGGGAAAGATATATTTCCTGAAACAATGCAATCAATGCTAGCACTGAATGTTTATAGAGAATACATGATAGAATTGATTTTTAACAAAGCAAACTATTAATATAAATTTAGTAATTAATATCCAGGATATAAATTTACAATTACAAAGTATTGGTTGTCTTTTAATCAAGATTTTTAAATATCATTGAAAAAGCGATTCAATACTTTCATAATATTAAACTTTTTTAAACTGCCCTAAGGATATACAAATACATAGTTATGGAATATAATAAATTTTCCACTGAGAGAGTAATACACGGGATCCAAAGTGGCCAAGATGGATAAGGAGATGCTGTTCAATAGGAAACTGGAGTTCTAGTAATAGATAACAAATAGTATAAAATACATTTTGCTATTTCATTAATATACATGCAAGTATATATATACAACTTGTTTAAAAAATGTTTTAACTTCTCATTGGGAAAATTCGAGATTACTGAATCTGTAAAAATGGCTTACAGTTTGGTATATAAAATATTGAGATTATTGTCTATTTTTTAATGTTAATAAAAAGGCAAGCACTTTGTAGGAACTTTAATAAAAGCATATCAGGTCGGAAAGGATACTTGGAGATTACTACCACAATCCATCTACCTTATCTTACAGATAAAGTACCTGACATAGAGAAATGTGACCCTTCCACTGTCATCCAGTGGCAGTACTGGAATTGTAGGTATTCTAATTTCATTCCAAGGCTACTTGATCTTTTCATATGTATAGGAGTTACAATAATTTTTATCTTTGAGGTCTTTCTATGGAGCTATAAAAGAAATGTAACATTAGTAGCAGTTTTTCTAGTACTTAAAATTCACATTTGATCACTAGAAGATGGTAGGTTGATCTTGACAAGGCTTTGTAATGAGACCCCAGTCAATCATAGAACACAATTGTTAGCTGAATTAGAATTAGCCCCAACTCATAGTGACCCCATCCCATATATATAGAATTTTTTCATTTTTCAGAAGTAGATGGCCTAAACTTTTCCTAATAGTCTTAGTCTGGATGCTCTGCTGAAGCCTGCTTAGCATCATGGCAATAGGCAAGTTTCCATGGACAAATGATTGGTGGTTGCCCATGAAGTACACTGACTGGGGATTGAACCCAGATCTCCCACACAGAAGGAGAGTGCTCAATCACTGAATCTCGAACTTTTCTTTCCTTTTTCCTTTAAAAAGATGACATTTGTACTGTGAGAGTCCCCAGTAATTTTTCCAGCGAACTACCTAACTATAATTCTAAAATAATGATTCTTCTCTACTTAAGATTGTCAAATGCTGTCCCAAGTGGGTAATCCTTAAGGCCATTTTACAAATTCCAGCCAGGTCAAAGACACATTCTCAAATCAAAATGAGAATCAAGGATAAAAGAACAATCACAATTTAGAAATCCACAATTACTAGGTATATTAATGACTCACATAACTAGAAAATCGTTTATTACATGTGTGGTTCTTACGTGGGGCACACAACTTTTTCTTATAGAATTGTGTTCCTCAGTGGCATCTAAGTAATAAATAGAAGCTACTTCTCAGTCACAGAGGTGATTCTGACTCACAACAACCTTGTACGACAGAGTAGAACTACACAACATGTTTTTAAGAGTCTAAATCTTTAGAGGAGCAGACAGCTCAATCTTTCTTTGATTGACTGGTGGGTTTGAACCACCAAACTTCTCGGAGTTAGAAGCTTAACACTTAACCTGAGCTCCTGTCTATGGAATACTTAACATAAAATTCACTTACAATGTTTCTTGAAAATGAAAATGCCTTCTCTCTACTTTAAACATGTTGCCCAAGCTGCCTCTCTGAGGGACAGGCCCAGAAACCTGTACTTCTGATATATTTACATGGTGATTCATAGACACATGAAAGTTTGAAAACTAAAAGTCTACAATGCTCCTATTCAAGACCTTTAGCCCTCTGCTACTATTGCAACTAGGACCTACAACAAAATCGTGAAGAATACTTCTGCTAATTCAGAGAATGTAATAAAAACTAGGTTAAAGTTAAGGAAAACGTATAATTTACTTCAACAAAACCTGATTGTGGTAATGATCTCACAACTCTTTTCAGTGTGAGAGAACTACTGAATTGTGTAATGTATGAATTATATGTCAATAAAACTATTTTTTAAAGATGCTTAAAAACACCAAAGGGGGAAAAATACACACACAAATTTAAACAGATCCTAAAACTTGACCCATCTTGGCTTCAATGTAAAACCTAAAAGTCCCAGAATAATATTTTAGCATATTTCAGATAAGAACATATATATCTTGAAACAAAATAAATCCTAGAAAATATAATAGAAATATGTAAATATATGGACCAATCGAAGGTGCTCAGTATTTCTAAACAAATCCTAGAAAATGTAATAGAAATACATATATTGATCGAGCAATTGATGGTGTTTTAAGTAGGTAAATATTTACATTAATCCTAAATCAGCCTATAGGCCTGATACCACTGTAAAAATAATTATCCTCAGATAAGAGGGCAGCATAGTTTATGACAACATTTTACCTAAAATCTCGTTAAAGTTTTCTCTCTTGGAGTGACATGCATTATCAGCAGAGATTAATCTGATGAGTCTTTAGGTGAGCTTCATTTTTTAAAGTGCAATAATAGAGGGCTTTGTTGTCATCGGATGAAAATCAATTAGAGGAAGTAAGGCCACAGGAAAACCAACATCACTCATCACCAACCAACCCCCAGTAGTTGAAATGATTTGTCTTCCAAGCTTGGATGGTCAGGAGCTATAGTCATATTGCAGGGAAATTAATTTAGTTTCTATATCGTGAACTCACTTTCCTTGTTCTAGAAGACTCAAACACAAATTACTTTTAATGAAGGTTGATATGCTATTAATACCAAGGTAGACTTTAGAGGAATCATTTTTTAAAATAGACCATAGCATTTTTTTCACCTGTTTGGGTATAACTCTAGGAAGGTTATTTATATCATCCTTACTTTCTCGAGTCTTTGTCCACAACAAGGCACTCTACTGAATGGCGAAGACAATAGATTCCACCAAACACGGCAGACATCCTAAAAAGAAAATAACAAGTATCAGGTTACATGGGTATGTTGAAAATTAAGGTACTATTATTTTCTGTTAAGTTACATAAATTTAATAGTTTGTCTTACATAAAGAGAAATTTGGACAGTAACTTATTGTTTTCTCAATAATGTTATTAAAAATGCCTCAGAGGTAAAGATTAATTATATTTTGATTCTGTAGAACTACACCTTTTAATCATACACAGTTAAAGCCTAAAATTGTAAAAAAAAACAAAAAAAACAAAGTGCCCCTAATCAAGGGTTAGATATACCACCCACTACCCCCTGCCAAAAAGAGCTACTGACTACTTGTGGGACACAACACTACCAATAGCCCACAGAAGTGATGTAAGAATTACCCAAGAAGAGGACATGAGAGAGGGAGAAGTGGGGGTGTTAACAAACCCAAGGATAAGGGAACAAGTGATCCAAATCAGTGGTGGGGAGGGTGTAGGAGGCCTGGTAGGGCGTGATCAAGAGTAATGTAACCAAGAGAAATTACTGAAACCCAAATGAAGACTGAGCATAATAGTGGGACAAGAGAAAAGTCAAAGGAAATAGAGGAAAGAGCTAGGAGGCAAAGGGCATTTATAGAGGTCTAAATAAAGGCGTATGTAAATATATTAAAAATATGTAAATATATTTATATGTGAGGATGGGGAAATAGATCTATGTGCATATATTTATAGGGTTAGTATTAAGGTAGCAGATGGACATTGGGCCTCCACTCAAGTACCCCCCTCAATGCAAGAATACTTTGTTCTATTAAACTGACATTCCATTATGCTCACCTTCCCAACATAATCACTGAAGACAAAGCGGGTGAATAAGCAAATGTGGTGAAGAAAGCTGATGGTGCCCAGCTATCAAAAGATATAGCACCTGGGGTCTAAAAGCTTGAAGATAAACAAGTGGCCATCTAACTCAGAAGCAACAAAGCCCACGTGGAAGAAGCACACCAGCCTGCATGATCACAAGGTGCTGAAGGAATCCGTTATCAGGCATCACAGAACAAAAAATCATATCGTTGTGTGCTCACCTCCCTGATACAATCGTTGAAGACAAATGAGTGCATAAGTAAATGTGGCAAAGAAAGCTGATGGTGCCCAGCTATCAAAAGATATAGCATCTGGAGTCTTAAAGGCTTGAAGGTAAACAAGCTGCCATCTAGCTCAGAAGCAACAAAGCCCATATGGAAGAAGCACACCAGCTTGTGCCATCACGAGATGTCGAATAGATCAGGTATAAGGCACCATCAGAACAAAAAAATCACGTCATTGTGAATGAGGTGGGGAGTGGGGAGTGGAGACCCAAAGCCCATTTGTAGGCCACTGGAGATCCCTTTACAGAAGGGTTTCAGGGAGGAGATGAGCCAGTCAGGGTACAATGTAGCAACAATGAAAAATACAACTTCTCTAGTTCCTAAATGCTTGCTCCCCGCCTACTATAATGATCCCATTCTACCTTACAAATCTGGCTAGACCAGAGGGTGTACACTGGTACAGATAGGAACTGAAAACACAGGGGATTCAGGGTGGATGATCCTTTCAGGACCAGTGGTGTGAGTGGAGATACTGGGTGGAAGGGTGGAGGGAGGGTGGGTTGCAAAGGGGGAACCGATTACAAGGATCTACATATAACCTCCTCCATGGGGGACAGACAACAGAAAAGTGGGTGAAGGGAAACGTAGGACAGTTCAATATATGACAAAATAATAATTTACAAATTATTATTGATTATTGATAATTTATAAATTATCATGAGGGAATGGGAGCGGGGAGGGAAGGGAAAATGAGGAGTTGATGCCAGGGTTTAGGTGGGAGAGCAAATGTTTTGAGAATGAGGGCAATGAATGTACAAATGTGCTTTACACAATTGATGTATGCATGAATTGTGATAAGAGTTGTATGAGCCCCTAATAAAATGATTTTTAAAAAGATTGGAATATTCTAATTTTAATAAAGGAGTTTGAACTAATAAAAGAATACTACATATTTCCAGGAGACAATGCTAACCTGAGATGTGAAAGCTAGAGCAGCAACATGAATTAATCCTGTAGAAACTCAGTAGTTTGCCAAGCTCAGGAATCTCAGGACTTGGGTTTCCATGCATTCATTATTACAGCAGAGGGCTGGGGAGCCAAACAAGGTATGGCATAGAGACATTCTCTCGTAACATTTGGACCTTTGAAGGACTACTTTCTCAGTGAAAGAGTGACCTAGAAAAAATCATTTATCTTTGTCTCTGGGTGGAGGACAGTATTTATAACTAATGGTCCACCCTTCTTCAGACAAGGGGTTTGAAAGCATACTAGAATATGATCCAAAAAATCCTAACTAATAGTGTATCATGAAAAATTATTCAAGGTCTGTGGTACACCAAGGGACTTGGTGGAAACAACTGCTAAAGTTTTCTGAAGGAATATAACCCCAATTCAGGCCACATGAGATTACCACAGACAGAGTCCACTGATAATGTGCTTATATTCTAAAATGATACCACACATGAAGAAAAAGTCTCTCCTGAGGGTTGTGAGACATAGCAGGATTGGATTCCTAAGAACTTTAATCAGACAATAGAACTATTAAGAGGATATTATAAAACAGGTATGTTTAAAAGGGATGAATCAACAATACGAGAGAAGGTATAGAATGGATAGTTTACAGTGAACCATAAACAAACTAAGGCATTACTTGGCTACCACTAACTGTTCTGACCAAGGACACAATAGATGATTCTTGATTAAAGAAGAGGACAAATGTGAAACTGAACTCTGAAAAAAATCTAGATCTACTGGACAAGTTGACACTAGGACTCCCTGAAACTATTGCCAAGTTATATATCTATAAATCTTGAATCAAAACTATACCTAAGTCATATTTTGGCTAAATAACAGTTTGCCTCTGATAAAAAAGAGCATTTACTGTTAGTACTGTACATCTTTAAAAATCTGTAAGAGACCAAATGGTCACAATTGCTCTAAAAGATAAAAGGGTAAGGGAAGAGGGAAACCCCAGATTACTTAAAATGAAGCACCCAGAATGGAATTAATGAGGCTGACACATTGTCAAAAATTAAAGCAATGTCATGGAACAATTTCTATTTGTTGTTGTTGTTGTTGCTGTTGTCAGTCAGTTCTGGCTCAGCAACCCTAAATACAAAAGAACAAAACACCACCTGCTCGTCCATCTTCCTCACCCTTGTTCTTATATTTGAGCCCACTGTTGCAGCCACAGTTGTCTATTCATTTGGCGAGGGCCTTATGTTTTTTTCACAGCCCCTCTTCTTTTTTTTTTTAAAATAATCATTTTATTAGGGGCTCATACAACTCATCACAATCTGTACATACATCATCTGTGTCCAGCACTTTAGTACATATGTTGACTTCATCATTCTTACGACACCCACTT